AGCCTTGAAATTTAGGGCGCAGTCCCAAATGGGGACTGCCAGGACGCAAGGCCTTTGATGGAGCTGGAGAATGGGAGGGGACGAGGTTCTCCTGGCAGGTTCGGGTTAATGCACCTGCCAAACGGGGACAGGTACGCCCAGAAACCAAGGACTAGGAAAGCCGCCGGGCTGGGCGCCTTGCCAGGCTGCGGAGGGGCCTTAGAGAGCAAAATGCAGCCGGGAAGAGCAGTGCCAGGGCAGAGAGGTGATTGGAAACAGGCTCCGGTTTCCTGGTTACTCACTACGAAACCCGGGGCTCTGGTACCTCATTCCCAAGCCTCAGAGCCCCTGGAGCGGCAGGTCGCAGATAATAACAAAAACAAGAGACGCCATGAGCTCTTACCAAGCACCAAGCCCGGTGCTAGGCAGTGCTTAATTCCTCGCAAAGACTCGAAAGCGGCGTGCGTTTTTCCTATTTCACAGCTGCAGAAACAGATTCTTCTACCCATCTCCCTGTCTCTTTTCAGTTCTTGCAATTAGCCAAGAGAAACTCTTACCGACTTTTGTGCCCGCCCTTCGGTGGCCCGACACATTCCCCATCCCCCCTGTCGCAGGCCAATATCCGGTTGTCCTGCAGGTCACTTTAGACTTCGGTTTTATCCACTCCCAGAGCCGCGAGGGCTTTTCTTTCATATTCACGCGACCTTTTGTAATTCACCAGCTCTGAGTTGATTTGTCGATTTGCTTGACACACTGGAAACTCCCAGCGGATGCGTCATGTGCAACGGAATTGCCTGTCAGGGAGCCTGGCATACAGTAGGCACTCAGTAAACACCTTCAACAATGATTAACTGCTGAATGAGGCTCGGAGAGGTGGTTATTCTCATGGATAAGGGAGGGTAGGATTTATCCATTATTTCTGAACCCTCACCTGCATCAGAACCATGCAGAAAGTTTGCCACGGTTTTTTATTTGTTTGTTTGTTTGTTTTAATTTAAGCTTTCATTAAATTAAAATTTCTAGGGCCTCTGTACTCTCCAGGTGATTTTTGTAGATGACCAAGGGTGAACACCACAAAGGCCAGATTGCTAAAAATTATTAAAGTTCGCTCTTTTTGGTAACTTTTGAAAAACCTGTCTTGAATCCCATTACTAAGCAGCTATTTAGGCCCAATGGTTTCAGCAAACTTAGGCCAAGGGGAGTGGAGAATTTGTGTTCATTCAGCCTCCCCTTACACTCCCATGTCCCTGCTTCTAAACAAGGGAACACTACCAACTTTGAAAAACGTAGTTTTAAAAAAATGGCAAGCACCAAGAGAACTGGAGAGGGACGGAGGTGGAGCATTTGCTTCAATTATCCGGATAATTGTTCCCCATCTCAGACCATTGTTACTAAAATGAAACAATATTCTATTGGATACAGTCTTGGCCTTTTCAGGCTTGCTCCCCTGTGGCGTCTCGCACACGCTGGGCACTGAGTTGGCGCCCAATAAATTTTATTCTGATGACAGAGGAGAGCTTTAAGGGTCGGGGAGGGATGCCTTGTTAGGCTTAAGGATTTGGGGGTGGGCGAATATTAATTAAGGTGAAGTGGGGAGCAGAGGCGTGGTGTGGTGGAGATTGGGTACCATCAAAACTTTGTTCGGAGGGCCCTGAAATTCTCAGCCAAACTCCCCACTCCTTTCCCAGAACCTCCCCCCACCCCTTCTTCTGCGAGGGCCGAATTGAACTCTGTGCCTGTGGTGAGCACAAAGGCGAATTCACGTTTCTCAAAGGCCCATCCATTCTGAATAAACATGGGGGAGAAGCAAGATCATTTTTGGTGATGGGTGAACACAAGGCCACAACTCCATGGACCGGCCTGCTGCACCACGCATTAAAAGTAACTGTACTGGGGCAGCTTAAGGGACAGCGGGTGCCTGAGCCCCTCACCACTCAGCCAGCACAGGAATGTGAGGACTGACTTCCAACTGCCCCTCTTTCATCCCGACTTGCGGCTTTTCAAGGGGAGCTTGGGTTCTCTATGAGTGTGTATTTGCTAATTGCAGTCTCCGCTTTAATGAGATTCTTTAACTCTCCCAAGCCCGTCTGCAGGTTACAGCCTTATCTGGGGACCCTCGTTTTCCACCCTTACTACACATCCCGTGAACAATTGCCTTGCCGGCTCCTGAAAAGAGAGCGAGCGCCCCATTTCTGCTGAATGCAAGTCTCCGTTCATCGAAAGCTGGCGGGCTTTTGATGGCCACAATGCAAGTTACGCCCAAAGAGTGTCTCTTTGGTCAGATCGACAACGCTTGGCTTCACGTTTGCAAGTTAAACGGGCAGAAACCCGGCTGAAACTCCCACGCCAGACGCCAGGGACATTTTCCTCCGCCCTGCTCAGAGCCGAACTGGGGAATGGGTCCTGGCAGGGGGAGGAAAGTAGGAGGCGGTTGTTAGAAGGGTGAGCAGGGAAAGAGTCCTGATTCTCAGCCACCATCTACAAGAAGGTGGGAGGCAGTTTTCTTTGGCATTTCCCTTATTTATATATGTATTTTTTTCATTTTGCTTTGTTGGCAGCTTTACCCACACCAAAAAAAAAAATCAAATGAGAGTGTTTTTTCCTTGTCTTCACCTAGGTAGCTGCTTTTCTCCAGTCCCTGAAAATGTGACTCCTTCATAAAACCAAAATTTATGATTATTCAAATGTTGGGGACTGTGAAAAGAGAGGAAGAAAGAGAGAAAATTAATATTGCAGCTGTTCTTCTGATTAATGAGAGATAATTGCTCATGAAAAGTCACCCCTGTGGCATTTTGTTGTCTCCTGGATCTTTGTTCTTTTCCACTATTATTGAGGACTTTCTTGAAGACTAAGCGGTTCTTTTCAATTTTGGGGTATTCAGAAAGGGTTGCCTGGTTACAGAGAATGGGGAAATCTCGGGCTATATCGGGTAAGATGTGCCACAGACAGCAATATCACAATGCCACTCGGAGAAAAGGATGGATACAAGTTAACGATGCGCTTTCAATAAAACATTCATAGACTTGTTCACGCTTTGATAATGACCTCATTAAAGGGAGCTGGGGGCAAGTAAGTCCTGTCTCCTGTTTGTGTTCAGCTAACAAAACCCAGCTTTGAGATCATTCATCGCTTTGGAAACTAATATGAAATCAATGTAAGAGGAGCAAATAAATCCGAGGCGGCCGGGCAACTCCCGGCTGTCCTGCCCTGCTTGCCGGCCTCCTCCACTTGGAGCAGGAGAACCATGTGGGCAAACGCTGGAACTGAGAGAAAAAAGGACCAGGGATGGGGGGTGGGGGGGGCGCCCTTAGGGGGCACAGAGGGAGGGGCAAACTGTGCCCCCTAAGGGCTCCCTTAGCTCCCCCCAAAGTGGTAAGCACATCAGTGGGTCAGAACTCTAGGGCTTGTGGAACAAGTAATGCTTAGTCCACACACTCTTCTTTCCCTGACTTTGCCTGTAAAAGGAAACAGGAAGAGAGAGATGGAGAGGAGAATGTGAGGTTCAGGTCTGGTGTGATCCTAGGTGCAGAAAAGTACTGAAAGGCTTTCTGAAAGCAACATTCAAGAATTCATATCTCAAGGCTGAGCTGCGAGGAAACTGCTCATCCAGACTTCAGAGGCAAGAAAATGGTACCTCTGACTGCTTTTAATTTTTTTCTCAGTTGAGGGTAAGGGTGGGGTGTCCTGACAGGAGTGGGGGTTGGTGGGGGACAATTCTGTTCCCTTCACATTTGTGACATCATCTTGCACTCAAGGAAGACAAAGCTATCCTTCGTCAGCTCCAGCAAGAGAGGGAAAAAAAATCAAAGCATCCTCCCCCCCCACTTGAAAGAACTAATTTTCTCCTTGAATTATGAAAGTAATGGCTTAGGTAACAGCCTGTACTCTGTACCCGACTGCTTAATACCGAATAAATCCTTCCACGTGGCTCCCCGAGTCGTGGCAATTAGAGCTCATTATAGGCTCATAAGAGCTCTCATTTCAGGGATTACTTAATGGACGATGAAATTTTATCGGACAGAATCACTGAGAAATAAAATTGGGTGGCAGCAGGGGCACAAGGGGGGCATGCTGACGGCCTGCCCAGGGTCCCTTTCTGCTCTGAATTGGTTGGAGGTGTGCTGTCCTCAGGAAGGGTAGGGCTGGGAAGGGCCAGCCACAAAGCTACCCGGGACCAAGGTGGGGTGGGGCGGAGATGATGGCAAGGCATATAGGGGGAGCTTCTGATGATGGAGCTGAAGTGGAGGAAAGGAGAGGGGAGAGAGAGAGAGACACTGAGAGATCCAAAGAGAACTAAAGAGTCTGAGAGACTCCAAAGTGGAATGTGACCCTAAATACTTAGCCTTGGTGGGCTTAAGCAATTAACCAAGAATTCTAATAGACAAATTTCTCAGAACATGGTCTGCTTTCAGCCTCAGTTTGGCCCCAAAACTGCTGCTCCCCTTGCAGCCCTAAGCAACCCCACGGGCCTCTCACTTTTCTCAAAATTTCTCAGCCCACCAACTGGATGTTTCTGCAGTCAGACATAAATTGAGTTAGATGTTAAAGCTTCGTAATTAGGATTCTCTAAAATCCAATGATCCTCACAGAAGCATAACTCCTAGCACATTAACATAGGAGTTCTTCCTTCAAGCACAACTAGAACCACTGCGGATATATATTATATAAAGTGAATAAATACATATAAATATATACAATTTTAAGTAAAAAATTAACATATATATATATATATATATATAGACTTGCAAAGTGAATGAGGAAATCACATCACCTGTTTGGACAATTGAGGCTTGTAAAAATATCCTGCCATTAAGCACCTCTCAGTGGTTGAGCTCCCAGTCTTCTTTTTGAGGCTGGAATGATTTGGGTACTTCCCAGATTCTTCTGATTGAGTGAGGGTGGACTGGGTTGAGGCTGAGTGCCTGCGATGGCTGCAGCGGCCAATCTTGTGGTATAAAAGTAGTTACAGCTGAGCTGCCCTGAGTTAAGCCCTGAGACTCCTTAATTGTTGTCACAAGATGTTGGATTAGCACATTTCTGGAATAGCTGTCTGTTTACACTCTGGAGACCCACCGTCCACTAACCGCTTTCTAATTGAATTCTAATCACATTCAAATAGCTCAATAACCAGCCTCAGCTGCAATTCATAAAACTTTAATTGCCATCCATAAATCCTGGGCTCCCCAGAGCGGGGCGTCCCTACAACTCAATTACACTTCTCTTGCAGGCAAGAGAGACAGTCACAGAAATGGAAAGGGAAAAGGAGAAACAGAAAGACAGAAGACAGAGAGACAACCATGCTGCCGGCTGAGAAGCTGAGGCTCCCCTAGGATTTGGGCACTTGGTTCTCGCAGGTGAAGGGAGTCCTGTCCCCAAGTTTCTTAGCACCATTGTGATCTGAGGCCTGGAGTTAGCTGTTCTGGGAAAAGATTGGACTTGTAGCTTTTGCTCACCCTCCCTGCTTCAGCCAGTTCTATAGGGTAAAGAAGAGAAAGCTGTCACTTCTGCAGCATTGCCTTCCCCCAAAGACCAATGTCTCCTATGTGGGCAGCCACCCTCTCTCACATAGCCACTGGTACACCAGTCTTCCACTGGAGCTTGTGCCACTCAGAGAGGTTTCCTTTACCAAGCCACTTCACCCATCCCAAGGCAGGATTCACTGAGAAGCTCAATTCCCTTCAATCTTTTTGGGCTTTAAAAAGGGTGCATAGGGGAGAGTGCTTCATGGTTAGTCTGCTAACTGCCTGAGATCTGTAAAATGCAAAGGGGCAGGAGATCACGGGATCCAAAGCAAAGGCTTCTCTCAACCCCTGCCCAGTCTCCAGAAGGGCCGAGGTTCGGTCCTCTCCCCAAAATCCATGGGATGGAGTTTGTAGGGTTGGAAATACAGCAGTAGAACCACTTGGAGAAAGAAAGAGTGACCCTTCAATGTCTCTCTCTGCCAAAGGGGGAGTTTCAGGTTAGAAAGAGGTACAAGAAAGCTTCCTTGATCTGGGTGGCCCCAGGGAAGGCCCCAAGTGCAAGGGCATTTTAGAGATTCTCAGGCATCAGAATGAAAAGCTCAGCAGCTTCTTAGCTGGGAGGCTTCACTGTTAGGCCCCCATCCCTCATTCCTAACCACCTGAATGACCTTGGCCAAGTCCAAAAGCTGGGGGACTCTGTATGTGGGAATGTGTGTAGGTGTGTGTGTGTGTGTGTCCACCGCACTCACAATCTTCCCCTAAACCGCAGGCCTCACACTATACCTTGCCTTATCCACGACTGACACAGAGGAGCAGGGAGTTCTGGGCATTCCTATTAAAAAGGCCGCAAAGTCCCCACCTGGTGCCCTTTGCGGCCCGGCGCAAGAAAGAGTTGGGTTGGGGCCCAGGTTAGGGAGAGGGGTGGGATGGAGGATGCAGCTCTGTGATTTCTCGAGAAAGAGGGGGAGGAGGCTGGCCTCCCCGCGAAATTAACAAAACCTACACTTTGCAAAGTCTCCCCCATCCCCCTCCTCCGAGTTCTTCCCTGCCGCGCGCCCGCCCCTCCTCGCCGCTTCTGTTGTGACTCGGGCAGCCTATCCCGAGGGTGGGGAGCTGCCGAGGAGCCTGAGCCGAGCGGTACTCCGCAGCATCACGTGTCGGGGTGGGGGCTATAAAATCTCGTAGCTGGGGCGTCGGGCGGGGGACGTGAGGACCAGCCCTCTCCAGGGACCCCTTTGTTCGCAGCCTAGACGCCGACACCTCCGCGTCCCCAAGGGCTTGACCGCCTGCGTCCGCACCGCGCCCGGGGCAGAGCTCAGGACAGGAGAGGGGAGGGGGCTCCACGGCTGGCCGGGCCCTCTATCTGCCCACCCTTCCCGACATGTCGCGCTCCTTCTATGTCGACTCGCTCATCATCAAGGACTCCTCAAGGCCCGCGCCCTCGCTGCCTGAGCCGCACCCCGGGCCAGATTTCTTCATCCCGCTGGGCATGCCGTCCCCGTTGGTGATGTCTGTGTCCGGACCAGGCTGCCCGTCCCGCAAGAGCGGCGCGTTCTGCGTTTGCCCGCTCTGCGTCACTTCGCACCTGCACCCCTCTCGGGGGCCCGCGAGCTCCGGCGGCGC